CGTTGAATTCGTGATCCATTATATCTGTGCAAACTGTAAAATGTCATTATATACTTTCTGCATGTCGAAATGAACAAAGAAGTTGAAAAAAACAATAAATTAAATCTCCTTTTTGTATAAAGTTACAGCTTCTTATGTAGACTTTTTCTTAGTAGTTTAAATGGGGAGTTATAGCAGTGCCTATTCATTTTACTATTTGCACGGAATGCGTAGACTTCCAATTTTGAATCTTTGAATCTCTTTCCACGACTGAAAAAAGTTCCAAATATGGGAAAGAAAAACAACAGAAGATAAGAAACTGGATTTACAAAGAGGAGTCAGATTTGCAAATCAATATTTTGGTTCCATTTTGATTTGAAGAGTTTTGTAAGACTATGTCATTTATCACATAAATTTTAGACACAGCTGCAGTTTTGTATTCAGTCTGTGAGTAAATGTGGAACTTGGCAGCTCCTAGAGATTCACGTCCAAGCAAGGATGAATTCCAAACTTCTTGTTATTGCTCAAATGTTCGTCTTTATGGAAAAAATAACTTAAACACAGAAATGCATCAGCGTAAGCAAAGAGGAAGCTTTGGAAAGTTTGTGACGAAGTTCTCCTGTCACATTGCACTCACCTTTATGAGTCAGTTATGGGATAGTTTTTCTGAGATTGTCCTCCTGTGAGTTTTTAGGATTCCTCATGTTACTAAAATTTTACATTATTTAAAAAATGTTGTGTTTAAGGTCTTCACAAAACACATGTTTTGAAAAAGATATTTTTAAAAAGTAATTTTGACAGAAATGAAGCATATAGCTTCATTTGAGATGAATTTTTAAACTGTTTCCTTTATTTAAAAAAAAAAAAAAGAAGTAACTTTTTTAACAGGATGGTGTTTAAATAAAATAAATACTTATACATTTCAAATCTTCAAATTAAATCTTGAACCATTCAGAGTTTTCCCATGGTGATGGTATTAACTGGAACAGCTTTTTTAATTTATCAATTTTATCAGTGTTTGCATAAATCTAACTTATTTTCTTTTAATGAATAAAACGTTGGAATAAAGTATTTATCATGACAGGGAAGTTCATAATAAGGTATCACCATTTTGCATCTCATGCCTTTTCATTTTAACTCTTTAATACTTATCAAACAAAAAAGGACCCAGTTGAAAGAATTGAGAGAGATGGTGTATGTGTTAGTTAGGCAGCCAATGGGAGGAAAGTTTTCCTGTAAGGAAAAAGTATTCCAGTCTCACTGTTTTTTTAAAAAACTTGAAAGCCTGTATTGTTTACACAGATATACTTAAGAGAGATTTGTATTTAAAATCTGAGATGCAATAGATATCATCTTTTTAAAATATTGCTCTAATCAGTGGACAATCAAAATAAAAAAGATAAAAATACTTAGAAACAACCATTCTAAGGCTACAAGGTCCCAGCAGGTAATTAAGGGGGGGCGGGGGGGGAGGGAAGAAAAAAAAAAGAGCTCCCACCACAACAAAACCCTAGCTCTGAATTTGTCCTTGTGTGCATTGGCACTGAGAGAACAGTTCAGAGTTGTTGATGAAATCATTATTGTTACGGACATGGTTAATCATACAAAGGAACTTTCGATTGCCAAGGACCCGCACTTGAAAGCACAGAACGACAAGAGTCATGACATATGGCTTGTAGTATTTCACAATGAGAATGAAATATTTCACATGCCTTGAAAATTACTACAGCTGACATTTGGAGAAGTTAAAAAAAAAAAAAAAAAAAAAATCCTGGGGCTTTCTTCCAAAATGTAACATCACACACATCGTGCATGGCCAACAAAACTCTCAGACACCACTCAGTCACTCAGTCGTGCCTCAGGATGCATCTTTGAATTCTCTCAGTAACCTCTCTACTGTTGCTTACCAGCTGTTTCTGGATTTGAAACTTTGTCTAGATTGCCAGGAAGAACAAGGAGTAGGTATGTCTATATTTTTTTTATGTCTTATTTTTATTAAAATCATTTATATATTTTATTTTAAAAACCAAATTTTTGTGCTCTCAGTTCTGACCTGTGCGGTCTAGTAAGACTTTCTTTTTAACCATGAAAGTAACTCTGAAGGTCAGAATTAGTTTATGTGTAAAACAAAGATTCATTTTACCAAATTACCATAATTGGATAATCAGAATTACTAGTAAAAATGCTGATAGATTCACCGTACATGGAAATTCATCATAAATCAGCTCAAAGTAAGAAAAGTATGTCATTATTTGTACGAAAGTTGACTGGAATGTGTTAAGTACCTAAATTGAAAAACATTCTTGTGGCTAATTGTCCATTAGCACTAAATATTTAAAAATACTTAGAAAAGAAAATTGTCTTTGAGGAAGAAATAAAATTAAACAACTGAAAATAAATTGCATTTTCTGTCAAGAGGACATCTGGAGCTCTGAATTTCTAGGAGGTTTGCTGTAGTACTTAGATACTGACTAGTAAACTGAAGAATTTTTCCCAATGATGAACTCTGCAGAATCTTCAGGTACAATTACTACCTGAACAAGAATTCAGACTTAGCTGTTATTAAAAGCTATTTGTGATGGAAAATAAATGTTCCTGGTGTTTTTGGTTTACCCTCTCATGAACGAATTTGTGACTCCAGCCCAGCGATCACATCTGAGGTAACTGGCATAAGCTAACAGCAAGAAGTCATCAGGAAATGGGCAAGGAAGGACAATAAGCACTTCTTTTTCCTCTATATTTAATAGAAGAAAGAATTCTGATTATGTTTAACTGTTATCTTTCTCTTAAATCATTTTTGACATATAATGTTAGAGATTTTCTGCTGTTGCTTTCATGCCTTAGGCTATAAGGTTAGATTACTGCTGTCTCACAAATAGCCCCTTTGATGCTAATTAGCCATTTATTTGCTAAATATATCTCATCTATAGTTTTAGATCCTCTCCAATTATCTTAGTTTGCATGAGGCTGTCTGCAAACTAACTTATAATATTCAGACTGTTGTGAGGGAAGATGTTCAAATCCAGAGAGCTGTTTTAACTCAGGCAGTAGCTCAGTTCCCTGTTAAGACTGTCAGCTTGAGTGAATTTATGAACTCAGATACAACTTAGCTGCTCACTTAATCCTGCAATGGTGAAAAATGTTTTGTGCATTTGTACTAAATAACATTATGTGGAATATTAGTACTTAACTAATTCCTAGACGTGTCACAGAGAGAGAAGTATTGCAAGCTGCTCAGAGATAGACATCACTGAGACTCTATGTATATGTAAAAGAGATGAACCATGGTCCTAAATGCTGTTTTCAGAAACTCCATCCTTAGCTGTGCAAAAATACAGAAACTGAAAGAGCAGAGTTAGGTAGCTGCAGCAGAAAGTTAACATTCACAATGACTGATAGCAAAATATTGATTTTTTTTCAAATGCATTCCTTTTTATGTTTGACATGCTCTACTTGCCTGAAGTGTTAGATGACACCACAGGCTCAGTAATATCTTGCATGCCATAATGATTCTGAGACTGAATGCCCACAAAAACCAAGATACAGGCACTATGGTTGAGCATGGCAATACCAGAAGAATGAAGTCAATGCAGGAGTCAGCTCTGACAACTCAGTGGATATTCATGAGAGGATAATGTTTTACCTTTGCTCTCACTCATGCACAATCTCACACGGAGTTACCAGAGAGAACTATGTCCAATTCTGGGCCCCTCAGTTCAGGAAGGATATTGAGGTGCTGGAGCGGGTCCAGAGAAGAGCAACCAGGCTGGTGAAGGGACTTGAGCACAAGTCCTATGAGGAGAGGCTGAGGGAGCTGGGGTTGTTTAATCTGGAGAAGAGAAGGCTCAGAGGAGACCTCATCAGTCTCTACAACTCCCTTAAGGGAGGTTGTAGCCAGGTGGGGGTTGGTCTCTTCTCCCAGGCAATCAGCAGCAGGACAAGAGGGCATGGGCTTAAGCTCTGCTGGGGGAGGTTTAGGCTGGATATTAGAAAGAAATTTTTTTACAAAGAGAGTGATCAGGCATTGGAATGGGCTGCCCAGGGAGGTGGTGGATTCACTGTCCCTGGAGGTTTTTAGCATGAGACTGGATGTGGCACTGACTGCCATGGTCTGGTAACCACGGCGGGGTTGGATCAAGGGTTGGACTTGATGATCTCGGAAGCCTTTTCCAACCCAGTTTATTCTACGATTCTATGATTCTAAATAAAGGTATTGCCAATGCTATGCAGGTCTAAACACTTGGGAGGATGGGACAGCCTCTCTCCAGCTGAATTCAATGAAGTTTTTGAGCTGGAGAAGAGTAAATTTAGAGCTGCAGAGAGTTTTCCTTCAGGCAAGATTTTGAGCATAAGATTTTGGAGGAACTATGTTTTATTATTCAAACTGTTGACATTTGAGGGCAATAAGCTGTCTAGTCTAACAGCAATTTTGAACCCAAAGTTCAGGATGAGAGAAACTGAGAAGGAGCAAAAGAATGCAAAGTTCAAATAACAAGTGATGCACACAGAGAGTGAGCAGCTTTTTAGTTCTGGGAAACATGCATCATCATGCTTAAGCAGGATGATAGAATATAATAATACATTAATATATACCTTATGGATATATAATAGTATACATAGCATGGTAAATAAGAGTAAGAGAAAGGGCAGGGAAGGGTGCAAAGCTGGCTTTGTGTCACGAGTGGGACTCCCTCTACTCTGGGGGAGATAGAATTCTCCCATATTTGTTTCTGTCATCAGTATGGAAGAGACATATAGAACTACTTACACTGATTTGGTACTTTCCTTCTGCTGTGCCACTTTAAACAATGGAAACAAGGAGAGGAAATTCCATAGGATGCAGAGTAAGTTACATCCTTGCTAATACTGTAAACATTTACTGTAAACGTTATGTTGCACATAACAAGTATGGATTGATCTATAATAATCAGTGAGGACTAATAAAGAATTTCCAGCAGTTAAATGTTTGTTATACCACTCATGGGAGACAACTTTTGCAGTTTTATGCTTCTTCTTTGCAGTCATTTTCTCTCATTTGAAAGACATCTCCTGTTCGCTTCGGAATTTTTAAAAAAATGACTGAAACTCCTCTACTGAATATTCCCTCCTCAAACCAGAGTGAAAACAGAAGCAACTCAACTATTTGCCCAGAACAGGATGACTGGTGGGACATCGTGTACTATATAGTACCCAAGTACCTCAACGCTGTCTGTGCTATTGGAATGCTTGGAAACGTATTTGTTCTCTTCATTTATTCACTGCACAAGGGCCCCCTGAAGATAGCTGAAATCTACCTTATGAACCTAGCTGTTGCTGATCTCATCTTCCTCATGGGCCTCCCTTTCTGGGCAGAGAACATCAGGAATAAATTCAACTGGCCGTTTGGCAGTTTCGTTTGCCGCAGCAACAGCGCGTCCATCAGCCTGAACATGTACACCAGCATCTACTTGCTGGTGGCCGTCAGCGTGGATCGCTACTGGACTCTTGTGCATACCTTGAACCACAGAGGGATACGGAGCAAAGCTGTTGCCAAAGGGATCTGCTTGCTCATCTGGTTCTTTGGCATCCTCCTCAGTGTCCCAGTTTTTATGTTTCGGACTGTGAAAGAGTATCCCCAGTGGAATATTTCAGCATGCACTTTGGACTTCCCCAACCCAGCGTGGGAAATAGCTCAAAGCCTGGTACTCAACATAGTGGGATTTGTGTTGCCATCTACAGCAATCATCTTCCTTAATTTCTCTACCATTAGGTCCCTACAAAAAAAAGCAAGAGTACGAAGAGCACTCAGGACAAAGGACTGCAAGGGGCGCAAAGGTACAAAAGCTACCAGGCTGATCTTCACAGTTGTATTGACATTTCTTTTCTGTTGGGCTCCTCACCACTTTTTTGTATTCCTTGATGTATTACACGATACAGAAGTGATCAAAGGCTGCTTCTGGGAAGAACTGATCAATTTTGGGGAACAGTTTGCTCATATGCTGGCTACCACCAACAGCTGCATTAACCCTGTGATTTATGTCTTTGTTGGGAAATACTTCAGGCAAAAGGCTTTAGAAGTTTTTTCACAGTTTATTCCCTGTGGATTTTCTTTGAAATGGGTATCTTTAAAAGAAATGTCGTCAAATTTCAAAATGTTTCCAGTCAGGAGTAGTTTAACCTAATGGTTATTGTCTCCATCTTCATTTTTATATTACAACTTATTTAATGCCATTGTAAATGACATTAAAAATTAATATGAATTGCACTGATCTGCCATTCGCAGACTAGGATAATTATCTACTAAAGTAAATCACTTGATGGCTTATTTGTCCTCAGGTTTATTTTTTTATGTCTGTGTTATCCATCCAAATGCATAACATGTGATATCAGAATTTTATACCAAATAACCTAATCTGTTGTACCAATTACCAGTGGCTTGAAAGAAAAACTGTTTGACAAAATAACAGAAAATATTACAGAAAACCGTAAGCCAGCTGAACGTTTTACTTCATTTTATCTGTGATGACAGCTATTATACCACCTAAAACACCGTTCATAAAACTGCAGCAGGTGTTACAGAGCAAATACGAGCTTAATGTTTAGCTAATAACTGCATTTGACCAATTATAGAATAGCTCCAGTTATTTTGAACAAAATTTTAATTGGTTTGCATTTTCACAGTAACATATGGAAAATCTGAATATTTTTTTGTGCATTTCAATTACATTCAGCACATAAATATTGTAAAAGATGATTTTTACAAAGAAATTATACATAAGCTGTAAAAAAGCAATGTAACACAGTAGCCTCCTCAAAATCTGACTTTTTTTGATCTGGTAAAATGTTACACAATTGCTCCTCAAGTGCATAAAGGTTCTTTCTAATTTTTATGTGTGAAAATATCTGTGATTGCCATTAATAATCTATTGATTTAGAATATCTTTCATCTGAGGCAAATCCATAGAGATATATTTGTATTTTTATGAATAAAAATAATAAACTGCATAACCTCTCATTTTTATCATAGTTTTTTTCTTTCTTATATTTTATTTTTGTATTTTGTCTCTTTTCCCTGTTTCTTTGGGGAAGAGCAAATATATAGTTCTGTGATTAAAAATCCTTGTTGCTACCAAAATACAGACTCTGGTAGTAGAAGAAAACTTCTCTTCCAATACAGCCAAAATTGCAGAGTAGACTTAAGGGAACTGAGATATCTGTTTCTACTGCTCTAAAAGTATGTGTTTGTACAGATGTGAAAAAAATATAGTTCAGCCATAAAGATACTGAGAGCAGAAAGGAGCAAATTTATTTTATAACAATTTGTATAACAATTCATTTCATTAGTCATTATAAAGTCTGTTTAGTCTTGTACTCACTGTAATAGCACTGCATTTTCTGCAGTTCTTTTTAGTGTTGCCATTTTGAATATGGAAATAATCTCATATTCGATCGTAGAAATCTGCCTGTTCAACTTCATTGCATTAAGATTAGTGATAGTTTTTAACGATTCTCTCAAACTTTTTGAATCTGAACAGAGGAAGCCTTTTGAAGACTTAAAAGTCTATCTTTCTTCAATGATGTTTTAAGAATTAAGGATGGATTAAGGGATCAGGGAGGAAGAATCACTCATAACTTTACTAGTTTCACTCCTTCTGTAACGGATGTTTTTAAAATAAATACAAGGATTAGATACCAGCAGTAACAACTGCATGTGAAGTCCCCTGAGTCATCTGAGATCAAATCCTCATTCCTATTTATTGTAAACTGTTGAACACTGTATTTATTTAATACATCCCCAGCTGAATCATTAATTAAAAAAACTTTCAAGCAGAGAAATTTTCTGAGGGGAAAAAAAAAAAAAACAAACAACAACAAAAAAAAACCCAACAAACAAACAAATAGAGGCAAAGAATAAAATAAGCTGAAATCATGTAAAAGAAGGGTAGAAACAGAAGTGTCAGTTTCCCACTATGGATAAGGACCTTAAAAGGGAAAAATATTTTGTCTTGTCTGACTAACACTAGTCCATGTTATGTAATGTACACAAATAAAGGGAAAAACACTTCTGGAGTGCTGTGGTGTATTTAGGGTATGAGCTAATAGATTGAAAATCAGTCTGAAATCTGAATTTAATGGAAAACCTCCTGTTTCCTGCAGTGGACAAGCAACAGGGACTTTCCTGAAAGTCCTGTCCTTTTACATATGCACAACTGTCAAGACAAGCATCTGTAGTTTAAATACTCCTTTAAACCACTTAAAAGGGTCTTGGAAATCAATGGATTTACCCTCCAATATTAATGTATGTAAATGTATGCATTCCCGACTGTATATTAGGGTCTACTGCTCAATAGTGGCACTTTTCCCTTTCACTGCTTGCTGTACTGTTCACTGTGCTGTGCCTGGGAACGTTTCGATAACAGCCCCGGTGATGCTCCTGGGCTGGCAGGTGACCAGAGTACTGCTGTGTCTGTCCTGCTGGACTGCACAGGGTGGAACTCCGGTGTGAACTTGAGTTGAATGGCTGTGACATATGGATGAGTCCATAATGGCAGAAATCCACCTGTAACCTGTGGAGAACCACAAACTGGAGCAGGTGGGTGCCTGAAGGAGGACATGACCCCCTGAGAAGCCCATGCCAGAGCAGGTTTGCTGGCAGGACCTGTGACCCCACAGGGGAGCCGAACTGGGGCAGTTTGTGAAGCACTGCAGCCCATGGGAAGGATCCAGGCTGGAAAAGTTCAAGAAGGACTATCTCCCATGGGTGGAATCCCCATGCTGGAGCAGGGAAAGCAAAGATTCCCTTGCAGCCTTCAGTGCAGACCATGATGAACCAGGGTGTCCTCCTGCAGCCCATGGAGGACTGCAATGTGACTATACTAATTGTGGATTTTAGCAGGTAACCCTTATTGCAGCCATGCTGGGAACAAGGGGAGGAGTTCATCGTAATGTTAAATCTATAACCTGGCACAAAAGGACCTGTGTTGGAGATTGTAATTTAAATTGTGGTAACCCATGATTTGAGTTGCATGTTACAGGAATTGCTATAGCAGAAACCACCCAAACTAATGGAGGAGAAGCCTTAAAAAAGAAGTGTAAGTGCATCAGTGACCAGACCTGAGGTGGCTTTGGTGCCCACTAACTCCAAGAAGTACAACACCTCTCCTGTCTTGAGTGACCACTATAACTGATGGAGCCCAAAGTCATGGACTGCATGAAGTCAAAGGACATTTGGTGAATATTTGTGAACATTTTATGGACATTTTCAGGGATGGTCTATTGATTAAAGAAATTACATCTGTGTATTATATCTAAGGATGGGAATGAGTGTGGTGGTTAGTGAAGTCTGAATTGAATAGTTTGGGACCTGGGCATGATGTAAATAGTATGGAATAGGTGGAATGTGCTGGTTTGGGCTGCAGTATAGCTAGTTTTTTCCACAGTGGATGACGTGGGGCTGTGTTTTGGATTTGTGCTGAACATACTGATGATAATATAGAGATTTTTTTGCTGTTGTTGAGCAGGGCTTGCTTAGAGCCAAGGCCTCTTCTGCTTCTCATACTGCCACATTGGTAAGACAGTTGGGGGTGCATGGGAGGTTGGGAGGAGACACAGCCAGGGCAGGTGACCCAAACGAACCAAAGGGATATTCCAGACCATATGACATCATGTTCAGTATAGAAAACGGGAGGAAAAATGGTGAAGGAGGCGGAGACATTTGGAGTGATAGTGTTTGTCTTCCCAAGTATCTATTACGTGCGAGGGAGCCCTGCTGTCCTGGAAATGGCTGAACACCTGCCTGCCCATGGGAAGCTGTGAATTAATTCCTTGTTTTGCTTTGATTGTGTGTACAGCTTTTGCTTTCCCTATTAAACTGTCTTTATCTCAACCCGTGTGTTTTCGAGTTTTTATCCTTCCAATTCTCTCCCTGATCCTGCTGATGGGGGACTGGGGGAGCGGCTGCTTGGGGCCTGGCTGCTGGCTGGGATTATACCACAACAAACAACCCAGCACTGCTGTGTTGTTTCTGCCTTGACGGTGTATATGCAAGCAGGGAGTGAATTTAAATTGCAGCAAGGAAAGCTCAGGATAAACATTAACAAAAACATTCTGGTAAAGCTGGTGACAGGCTGCCCTGGAGAGAATCCAGCATGGCAGCCATGGGGGCCTCCAAGGCCACTTTAGACAGTCATTGCTGGGGACAATATCAATGTAGTCAGTTCTGTCCCAGCACAGGGGATGATTTTTTATGATGTCCGTCCCTCCATTAACTCTTTCTCTTGTGGTCAATAAATACAGATTCCTTGCTTAGCCTTTCAGGGCTCTTCACCAATCACCTTTCAATCAGTACTGAAATGTCAGCTCTGGTAGCCACTAAACTGGAACTGCCAGACTCCAATGCCCGTGGGTTGTTCTTTTGAATAAGCATCCTTTTTACCTTCTCTTCTGTTACTTCTCACACTCCTGATAAACATTGCCAAGCATTAATAATTAAAAAACTTCTCGCTGCAATACCAATCTTTTATAGTTGAGATACCAGCAACCTTAAGGCTTACAAGTACAATTTAACTTGTTCTCCTCATCCATCTATATTGAATTAGTGTATTTTATATTTTAATACTAATTTCTCTAGGGCAAGGATTATCTTTTTGCTATCTGTTCAGGTCATGCTTAACAGCCAGCCTTTAGTTTAAAATAGAGCCCTCCTAGCCCTAGTGCAATAAAGCAACATTTAGGATTCACTGAAACCCATCTTAAGAAATAGCACAGCCTGAATTTACGTTTGTAATATCAAAACATTTTGACAAGCCATTGCAGTTTTAGCAACTTTAACTGTAAATGTAGACAGTTCTCAGATTCCACCTTTAACAACAACAAGAATGACAGAAAACACCACCAAACTGAACTGATCGATTTTTAAAACTGAAACTGGAAAAAAAGGCACTGATCACTAAATATAAAGACAGATGCTTTCTCAGAGATTTGTAGCCATGTGAGCTTCTAGCCTGCCAGGAGTCATCTTCCTGGGAAGAAAACTGTTTGTCATGCCTGTTAAAATTGCACTATACCAAGTAAAAGTGTTGAGTCTTGGATGGAAGAAAGCAATTTGCTCACAGTACAGATGTGCAGGAGCTTTCATCAGCCAGATCCTCACATTGATGCTTAAACCCCCTGCAGTCACTTGTGACAGAGTTTCACAAGAGACCTGGTCACAGAGCAACCCACTTCACTGCCCATGGGTCCTGGGGTCAAGGGCTGTGGATATCAAAGAAGCTGTTGGTTCACTGTCCCAGTTTTCTTCTTGGTGCACTCCCAGCAGCAGGAAAGGTATAAGTGACAAAAGCTGCCCCAAGATGGCAGGACCAGAATCAGATTGGGGAAATGGGACTATGTCTGGAGTTTAGCAGTGAACAGAGAAATATCTGATTGGAGACTGGGAGTCCAGAAATAGAAGAAAAGGCTGAGGGGAGAGAATAAATCACCTGCCAGTGC